CTTTCTTTTGGGAGAGATTTTTGCTATAGGGCACATGCACTCGCCAGAAAGACAGAGAAAGACAGAGAGACACAAAGCGAGAAATCACCCCCCAGGGGAAATGGCCATGCAACAATCTCTTCTCCATTCTCCTCTCGAGATCTTGGGCATGCATGCACGCACACACACCCGGTGTGAGTTTAAGCCCCTGGGCCTGGGACTTGAACCGTGGTCGATTACATGGGAGTCCAGCGACATAGCCAGTATGCTAACTGCTGGTCCCATGGGTTTTAGGATTTCAACATGAGTTTTGGGGCGATGTAATCATTCAGTCTACAATAGGCTTTAAATAGATGCTAATTTCTGGGGATACGAAATACCACTGTAGTCTACCTGTCAGAGCAAGGGCTTATGGTGAACAGGTAAAACGACAACAAAACAAAACAATGGAGTTTTGGCCAAGTCTGTCTCATCGTGGGCTCCATGGGTGCACAGACCCACCCTGCAGTCTTTTCTTCGGTTCTCAAACGTGAAATTTATAGGGTGGTGATTCGTATTTCATCCCCATCTAATCTGCCTGTTTGGCCCATGCAGAAGGCATAAGCTTGGAGAAGAGTGGTGGATTAGATGTACTATGGACGATTTCTCACCACACTTGTGACGCTAAATGTGGGGTTTTCCCCCCACACTAATAATCAGTTATTTAACTCTCCGGACACCAACTGGGCATTGAATAATTTGACCCCATTCTGACACTATCTACCAGGGTTAGTACAGACCCCGTAGCTCAGGGCTCAGTGCTATGAGACTGCCCACCTTTCAGATGCCAATCACAAGTCCAGGCCTCCCATACTTCTGACCAATCAGCTATGAGTCGGGGGTCGTGCTTATATTCAGTTTGTAACTTAGACAGCAAAAGGAAGAGTAGCCAAAGACACTGACTCCCCGTAGTCCTTATCTCGTGCACCAAAAAGAACAGCACCAAAGCAAAAGAGGCCAACGACTGCAGTGGGATACCTCGTTGCTAAGGAGCTGATTCTAGACTGCAGCTAAGCGTGTTTGCAGAACAGTCTGTAACTCTATCCTGAGGGGTTCAGCCGGGAAGTCTCAGACCTCATCATAATTAGGGAATAAAAATCTCTCATGGAGCCTCCTAGGGGAGATAGGGAGATGAGTGGGAGACGGTCTCAGACAGCTCCTCACAAGCCTCCCATCTTCTTGCGTTCCAGAGGATTACAAGGCATTCTTCTAAGACTTAGATAAGCTGCCACTCAAGCTTTTTCTGCATGGCCTCTGTGGATGTGTGCAAGTTGCCAGCCCTGGCAACCCATGGAGGGAGCGTGTTCCCCTACAATTGGATTGCTGAGCAGGAAGTAGCAGGTGCCTAAGCTGCCTCAGAAGAGACATGTGAGCTAGAGAGTGAGAACTGAACCCCACAACGATTCAGGAGCCCACCACCTCAGTGAAGTTTCAGAGCATTTAGCGGGACTTGTTGGCATATCCCCTCCAGTGTGAAATAAAATGCTGTTTATCATGAAAAATAGGCCCAACACTCGGGAAGGCTTTTTGGATTGAGGAGGGAACGTATGTTAGATTCGAGTGGGCTGCTCTGACCCACTCACCAAGTAACCTGCTGAGCTGCTGGTTTTGAGTGGGATCTAGAGCAAGAGAAAGGTCTGAAGGGTGCTCTGCCACTGGGGGCTGTGACCCAGCCTGTTCTGTGACGCTCCACACGCTCCTGACTGACAGCAGTGTCTATGGGGCCCGTGCCCAGTGCCCAGCGGAGAGTTACAGTGCAGTCCCCTGCAGAGCCACGCCCTCTTCTGTAGGGAAGTTCCTGCTTTGAAAAACAGCTTGTGTCTTGTCCTGAGCCCTTGATGGACCTGAGCCCTCACAGTGGAACACACAGTGAGCGTGTGACCAAGCTGCTCGTCATGAACTGAGTATTATCTGATCCACCAAGCCAGAAGGTTGGGCAGGGACAGTGGTGACCCGCCAGCAATTGTGAGACTTACAGGCTGCAGCTGGATGAGCAGGGATTCAAGAACTCTTAGCACCTACTTCTGCGGTATCCCCACTGAGAGCTGCCATCTACCCTTATGCTGCATCTGCTAGAAATGGACTGATAAAAAGTTATAGCCTAATTCAAGAATCTCTGAGGCCAGCAGTGGCATGGTGATTAAGGAGGCTGGATCCCACGTGGCCAACTGTGCAGTTTGAGTCCTGGACCAGGCAGCTTGAAAAACATGCTGGGCATGTGTGCCCAAAATCACAAGAGGAGAAATGAGGAGAAGGGATCTCCCCGGGTTTGTGTGTGGGGGGTGATCTCTCACTATCTTTCTCTCTCTCTCCTGCAACTGTATGTGGCTTATAGCTTTTTTTTTTTTTCCCAAAGAAAAAGCATCTCTGGAAGATGGTGTGAAGAGAAATCCTCCCAGTGGGCAAAATATTCGCCCATTCTTATTTTTTAGTTGATAGACGTTGTGTGTATGTTCATCAGAGAGAGACAGAGAAACAGAGAAAGAGTTTTTTGAGATGCGGAGAAACAGACAAAGAGTGTGGAAGAAGAGAACACCTATCTGAAAAGGGTGCTATTTTTATTATACCCATTTTCCAATAAAGAAACAGGCACAGAGATGTTAAGTAATTTGTTAACATTCACACAGGCTGCTACCAGGGCTTGAACTCAGGCAGTTTGTTTCTATAGCTTTTGTGCTCAACTTCAATCCTGTGCATTTCTGAATCCAGGTGCTCTCTGGAGAGCCACTGCTCTACATGATCTTTTGTTCTCTTTAAGTTTGATCTCCTTTGATGACTACTGTTCTCTCTTTTTTTAAAAGAATTATTTATTTAATTTTATTTATTATTATTTAAAAATTTGCTATAGGGCATGCACACTCACCAGAGAGAGACAGAGACAAAGAGAAAGAGCATGAGAAAGCAAGCTGCTAGGCCTGGGACTCGAACTGCAGCTGGCCATGTGGGAGTCTGATGCCTTCACCACCATGCCACCTGCTGACTCCAATTTTCTTAATACAAAATAGCAGAAATTTGCCTGTAAGAGCTCTGAAGACTTAAAAGTGGTTTAATTTATCATTTTATTTAAGTTATAATTTTTCTTCTTTTGTTCCTTTTTTCCTTCCATAAGCTTTGGGAGGCAAAGTAACCAAATCTTCCCATATTCTGATGTTACTGCAAAATGAATTTGATAATGATCAAAATGGTGTTTGATTTGTCTACATGTCCAAGAATCATTGAGCAGGACAGGACATCCTATCTTCTTTTGTGGAAGGCTGAACAAAATTTGCTGTGAGTCCAGACTTTCAGGGCTGCACAGACCTGGCTTCTACTGTCTGCAACTTTTTTTTTTTTTTTTAAGATTTTTGCTATAGGGCATGTACTCTTGCCAGAGAGAAACAGAGAGAGAGGGAAAGCGAGAAATCACACCCCATTCCCAGGGTAAGGGGGAGTTGGCCACATGTCTCCTCCATTCTCTTTTCAGGATTTTGGGCACTCATGTACACACGCCCTTGATTTTCAAGCCGCCAGGTCCAAGACTCAGACCGCTGCGAGTCCAGGGCCTCAACCATTATAGCATGTGATGGCTTCTTATCTCTGACTTTAAGCAACTGGTTTTTACCACTGTGCTCGGCACAGGTTGCCTGGTAGAGTAAAGGATCTGGGAGCATTTGTGTGGTCAGAGGCAAGTGACCTTCTTGGGCCTAGCTGTACAGCTGTGAAATAAATGGGTTGGGCCCGAGGGTATCCTAGGTTCCTTCAGCTCTGACCGTCTGTGCTTGTGCCTACCTCTGAGTTGCAAAGAATCGTCAGTAAGTGAATGTCTTGCTTATAAAACCATTTTTTGTTGTTGAAAACGATACATCCTAGATAGGAATTTAAGAGAGAAGCTGGGCGAGGCCTGGAATGATGTGTGGGAGATGTGATGCACGGTTATTTCTAGGAAGGGGATGGGCGTGGCGGGGCGCGGAACCTGGTGTGCACGCAGCGGAGCATCCCTGCAGGCTGAGAGGCCACCCGCAGGCGAGCGCTAAGGCCGAGGCCGGGGACCGCGGCTGCAGCGGCTGCGCACTGGCGCGACCAGC